GTCTTCCCAAACTTGGCCTAAATAACTAGTGAGCGGAGGCCCGGTAAATAATAACAAAGTAAAGGGGTAAATGAATGATGTCCCATAACTATAGCTGAAACTGAAATTCACATTCATATTCTCATTCTGAGCATATATAGAATTCAGAGTTCATACTTAGTTTTACATAGTACATCCATTAGCGCTGACTAATCACGCACAGAATGTCTTAAATCATACTTGTCAGTTCTATATAAGAACCTCCGGCCGGGTAAGAATATCTTGTCAGTCCCATAAAGGAACCTCCGGACTGGGAACTTGTAAACTTGTTAGTTCCATTTAGGAACCTCCAGCCAGGTATAGATAGCTTGTCAGTCCCATAAGGAACCTCCGGTATTGGAAACTTGCATATATTTGAATCATGGCATTACTTGAATCATAGCATAATGTCATAAGCGCTTGTTAGACTTGGTTCATAGCATAAAACATGACATTTCATAGAATAGTTCTTAATCCGCGAGCAAAAAATTATTTACTTGAATATAGCTTTACTAAGTTATTACTCACAGATAATAGATGCTCCAAGTAAACAAACTGAGCAGCCAATTTAGCTTCCTTATGGCACATGACCTCAACCCCTCAAGTAAAATCTAGATGATGAGCACATTAAGATTCCAAGCTAATTCTTCCTAATTCCAACAAGTCTTGTTGATCTCAACTCTCTCTCTCTTGGTCCCTATTTCTTTCACACGTTTGTGTGTGTAATAGCTCAAGTATGCTTGAAATTGAAGAGAGGAGTTCAGTGGAGGCTTGTATGAAGCCTTATATAGGCTTCACTTGAAGATAACTTAATTAAGACTAATTAAGTGAGCACTAATTTAATCTAATTTATTCGTTCCAAATTGAAATTTTATTGAACCTACCATAAAATCCTAAAAATTCTAATTAACACATAAATCGAGTCAATTCCTGAACCGAATGCCGATAAGGCCTTTAATTCGCAAACCGGAATGAAACATGAACAAATCTATCTACGCTAAACAGATATAAACACAAATAAGGCAACATATGATGCAAAACTTCACTAAAACTTATTATTAGGCAACATTAAGTATGGATTAACGTTAATCATGGGTCGGGGTTGTTACACCTACGATTCCCGGCCCTGGCCCGATCCGAGTAGGCCGGCGACGCGTGTATGTGTGGCAATTTTTGTATAACCAACTTGGACCATAGTTTTAGCCCTAGCCTATTCTTGAAGCATTCATAATTCCCTTCATTTGGAAAATTTAGATTGCGTTTGGTAGAGTTTTGTAAATATAATTTGAGAGAATGAGTTGTATTTTGAGTTTGTGAGTTGTGGAATTATGATTTAAGTGTAGAAAATTAGTTTGGTTATGGTTTTTGAATAGAGTGTTGAATTGAGTGTGGAATTGAGTTTTAAAAGTTTGATTTGACATATGAAGTAAGAAAATTTGTTTTGTTATGAGTTTTGAAAAGAGTTTTCAAAACTTAATTCAAATTATTATAACTCACAATAAAACACACTACTTTCACACTGCTGAAAATTCTGATCAACACTCATAACCAAACTCTTTTTAAAATTCAATTAAAAAAATTATTATTAACAGAAAATAACATTAATCAATTTTTTAATTAAAAATACTACAAAGGAAATAATTTTTTTTCAAAATAAATATTCAAAAAATTTAAATCATAAATATTTAAATAATATAAAAAATTTAATAAGTAAAAAATTAAAATAAATATTCAAAAAATTTAAATCATAAATATTTAAATAATAATCTAAAAAATTTAATAAGTAAAAAATTAAAATAAATATTCAAAAAATTTAAATCATAAATATTTAAATAATAATCTAAAAAATTTAATAAGTAAAAAATTAAAATAAATATTCAAAAAATTTAAATCATAAATATTTAAATAATAATCTAAAAAATTTAATAAGTAAAAAATTAAAATAAATATTCAAAAAATTTAAATCATAAATATTTAAATAATAATCTAAAAAATTTAATAAGTAAAAAATTAAAATAAATATTCAAATATTTAAAAAATTAAAATATTGATTTGAATTGAGTTTTGAATTATGTGTTTGGTTATGAGTTTTGAAAAGTAATGATTATGTTTTAAAAAATAGATGTACAATTATGATTTGAAAGCTCCAAACAAACAGCACACTCAAATCAATAAGTAGAATTATATTTTGAAAGACTTACCAAATAGAGCCTTAGATTCTCCAAATGGCTCATGCCTTTATCAAAATCTTGAGGTTTAAATATCCATCAATGCTTTCCTCTACAATCAATGTGGGATAGGTAGTTATACAATATTCTCAATATCTCATTCATGAAGCTAATTTTATGAGACACTTTCTCAGCCTCCGTTTGGGAAGTGGGTTGACTTTTTGGCTTTTTGGTTTTTTTGACTATTTTAGCCTGGGCTAAAAAGCTTAGTTTGGGAAGGACTTTTTGGCTTTTTTTACTTTTTTTGTGAGAGAAGAGTGTAATGATTATGGGTTGGATGTGATGTTTTGTTTTTTGTGGCTAAAATAGCCTATTTTGTCTTTTGTGGCTAAAATAGCCAAAAAAACCCGAAAAAGCCCTTCCCAAACAGACCCCCATTCAATTCTCAATGATTTTTTGTTATTCTTTTTATGGTGTAAATATCTTGTTACAAAGAATTTAAACCATTTAATCCCACGTCAATCGGTGGTTGGGGGCCTACTTTAATTTCACATTAAAATCACTATAACATCATTTTTTTCAACAATTTTTTAGTTTTTTTGCTAAAATATAAGGTAACAAAAATTAGTATGTTTACAATGATTTTGATTTTTTATGAAAAGATGTGCAAAAAAAAAAATCTTTGACTTTTTAGGATAGTTTATTGACTTTTTAATTTTTTTAGTGACTTTTTGACTTTTAGACTAAAATATTGAATTGCTAAACAAGGCATCCAAACAAAATCCTTCCCTTAATGACGTGGCAAGGTTAAGAGATAAGATGGCTATTGTGCAGGCGTTCGGATCCTCTAGGGTGAAAAGTCTACAGTCATCTCCTAGAGTGAACAATCCAACGGTTCACATTAAACCTCCCCAAAACGACGTCGTTTTGGTGAGTACTTTGAAGAAAAAAAAATCAATTCATGGCTCTCTTCTCCTTCTCTCTCTACCTTTTTGAAAATCAACCCATTCTGAAAATCAATCCATGGCTCAAGTAATAGAAGAAATCTCACAAACTCATATTTGAAAATCAATCCATGGCTCAAACTCAAGAAATCTCACAAATCAAACGATGGATTGAAACAAAACCCAGAAAGGTTGAGTCAATCCATAGTTACTAAAATCAACAAACCCAGAAATCTGTCTTATCTTTTCCCCAGATGATTTTCAATCAAGATTGCATCGACGAGTCTCTGAATCTGATTCCCTATGCCGATGAGTGCAATTTGTTTCTCAACCCTGATCTGGAGACTCCTAGGGGTTTCATTGATGCTTGGTCAAATGAAGATCCCAACAGTACTAACAACAACAACAACGAGTCCTTTGTTTCTTTACGTGGGAACCTCTCGCCTTCTTCTCTCACTCTGTCGATGGCCACGGTGGCGGTGGGCGGCAGCGATGCCCTCACCGGCGAAATGGGTGGTCAAATCCAAATGGGTTTAGGCATTAGAGATTCAGATCACCATGAAGCCCAAGTTTCAAGCTGATTGAGCTCTGTTTCTTGGGAGGGTTCCACACCTGGTGGACCACTAGCCAAGGTCTTGATACTAAAATCCGAGAAACTTTGAGCTATGGATTGATTTTCAGAGATGGATTTGTGAGATTTCTTGATTTTGAATGGTTTTCTTGAGCAAGAAAATGGAAAAGAAAAGGTAGAGAGAGAAAAGGAGAAGAGAGCCATGGATTGATTTTTTTTTCTTCAAAATACTCACCAAAACGACGTCGTTTTGGTGAGGTTTAATGTCAGCCGTTGGATTGTTCACTCTAGGAGATGACTGTAGGCTTTTCACCCTAGAGGATCCGGACGCATTGTGCAGTTATATGGGCCTATTTTGGAGTCCATTTTGATAATTCGAATAATTCATGTTTTAGAGTACATCAAGTAAATATGTTTGTAAAAAATCAAATTAATCAAATATTGTTAATTCTTTTACCCACTCATATTGGTATTCAGTTTTATACTTCAAATCACATGTGTCATTTATTTTTGTAGATACAAATGCAATACGATAAAATGACTAATGATGTCCGATCAACTTGATATTTTACAGGTATGTTCTACTCAATGTATTTTAAAAAACCAACAATTTGGATCCGTTCCAACATGGGCCCATATAACTATACAATGGCAAGGTTGATCAGAAGGTTTTAACAGAAGAAAAAAGTGTGAGAGCATGGGTTAGTGGCTGATCATCCTCTTGGACCAGCTACTGATCATCGCCTTGGTAAGCTATTATCTCACTAACTAGCTAATTAGAAGCGAGCCTTTCCTCAGGCGGATTTCTCCTTTTGCTCCTCAGCTTACGGGGTATTAACAGCCGTTTCCAGCTGTTGTTCCCCTCCCAAGGATAAGTTCTTACGCATTACTCACCCATTTGCCACTGGAAACACCACTTCCAGTCCGACTTGCATGTGTTAAGCATGCCGTCAGCATTTTTCCTGAGCCAAGATCGAACTCTCCATGAGATTCCTAGTTCATTTTTTTTTTTTTTTTTGTCATGTCATTTGAAAAAGTAGAGTTTGTAGGAGAGAAATTATGTAAATAAAATATTTTTGAGTAATATTAAGAATCCCAAATATTTTATAATTTTTTAACATTTTTCTCAAGTTTGTCCTCATCAAATCGCCACATGTCGGAACAATGCCAAAAGAGCACATCTGCTGCCTTGTCGCGTTTTGGTTGGCTGAATCTGCACGCACCAATCAGCTGACGATTCAGCAGATTTTAGTCTCTCAAAAACCCTAAAGCCCTTTTTTCTTTCCTTCTTATATCTCCCCAAAACCCTAACCCTTTTTCATTCCCTCCTCACAGGCACTCCGACTGTTGCTCTCTCTCTCTCCCTAGGTCGTAACTATTCATTCACAGAGCAAGAAGCAATCTAGGGTTTGTTGAAGATGGTGGCGGACAAAGGTAAGAAGTTGAAAGGCGAAGAGGAAAATGCAGAGCACATTGATGGAGAACTTGTCGTCTCCATCGAGAAGTTGCAGGAGATCCAAGACGAGCTCGAGAAAGTATAATTCTCTCTCTCTAGAAAACATCACTTAAAAACAGAGATGAAATAAAGCAAAGTTTTTGAAAGTTTGTTTGTTTGTTTGTTTTTTTTCTTTTTTCTTTTGGGGTTTTCATGAAAAGAGATATGAAATTAGTTTTGAACTTAGTTGACGGGAGGGTTTAAGTTTCACAATTGACGAGTTTCCTGCGTTTTCCGAGCAACCAAACAGACCATTGCTTTGTTTATTTTCAGCATTGTTTATCCTTGTTTGCTTATTTCGTTTTCCCAATTTCTTTTATCATGTGTGAAAGTTAGATTACTCTTGTTCGTGGGTCTATGAAGGTTTTGTGAACTTAAATTGTGTGCCTTTGCATTGTATATATATGCATATGTATGTAATGTATTAACATATGCTTGCTTGTGGGAGGTAATTTCCAAGGAAGGACCCATGATTCTAAGTATATGAAAATTAAGTTGGAAAAATATATTAATAAGTATGTTTTCTCATATCCACATTGACCTACAAAAGATAGCAACTTTAAGACAATTTGTCGACTAAAGTGTGACATCTTGAGTTTTTCTTGGCATCCTTATTCAATGAATGTAATCATGTAATCAAGTAACTTGTTGAGTTCTGCTTCATATTTTTCTCTTCTTGGCTTATTAATTTGATACTTTGATGCCATGTGTGTTTCATAGACTTAAAGTTTTAAAAATCCAAGAGGGAACAGCCATTTAAATCTGGGGCAAAAAAAACTTGAAAGGGGCGAGGTTATAATTTGGAGATAATTAATAGCTAATATTATAGTAAAGGAGTTTTCCAAGGGGGAGGGGGAGCACTCCCTCTAGGTCCATCCTTGATAATTACATGACATCACATTTATAGAATGGATTATTACAATTAAGGAAACAATTGACAAATTATTTATCAGCAAATCTGTTGAATAAAAAAATCTTCTAAAATCTATCTATCAAACTTATTTATAATTGAGGGAAAGTATGCAGGCAAAAAGTCATTGCCCATGTCCCTCTTTCCCAATTTTGCCCCTCCTTTCCTACCACAGTCAAGGCCCCCTTCCTTCCTTTGGACCTCTAACAAAGAATGGTGGAAGTAGAAAAGACCCACATCAGGTAAGAACCCAATCAACCCACAATGCCTTGAAGGAACATTAAACCTGGTTGTGGTTTTTGATTGTTTGAGGCAAAACATATACTTTGGTCCAGAGGAGGAAGGGATGTGGTGATGGAGAACCTAGCAGCATGGACAAAAATGAGTTTCACCTCAATAGTAAATAAGTATCCACATGCAGATTTTAAAATATACATATTAATTTAATAGAATTGCTCGTAAATAGTTTACCTGTTTTTACCTTAAATGTTATAATCCCTTTATAGTATTTGAAGCAATTGGGATCTTTTATTTAACCACAAATTGACAAGAAGAAATTTGGAAAGGAGTCGATATTCATATTTATTGGATCCATTTGGGGTGTATTGGATATGTGTCGGCCTGTCAGGAATATCTGAGAAGTATTCAGAATAAGGCCATTATTAAAACAAAGGCCTAAAGACATTTATTTATATTCCTATTGCTAACAAGGAGCAGTGTTTTATTGCTAAGGCGTAATATATTGACTTTATTATGTGAAGACATATGAGCTGTATTACTGAAAGCGGGCTAACTGTGCTCTGTTGATTTTATTTTTAATTGCAGATCAACGAAGAGGCAAGTGACAAAGTCTTGGAAGTAGAGCAGAAGTACAATGAGATACGCAAGCCCGTCTATGAGAAGCGGAGTGATATTATCAAATCCATTCCTGACTTCTGGTTGACTGCTGTTAGTGATCTATCTTCATCTACTTGATTCTCACAACTTCTGAGTTACCTGCTGTTGTGATTTCTTAGATGTTCTTTCTAGAACCCATTGAAATGACTAATCCCCTTTTCTATGCAGTTTTTGAGTCATCCTGCTCTTGGCGAACTTTTGACCGACGAAGACCAAAAGGTTTGGTTTTTGTTCTCATATATTAAAATAAATCATATGGTGATTTTATGAGACTTTTAATTTCTTTCCTTCTTTATATGAGTTACTACTAATGAATTTGGTGCATGCTCTTTGAATAAATTAATGAGGTCTGTTAAGATGATTATGCTGTCATTGTTTTTTATTTCCATCCCCAATTGTCTTGTAACTTGACTTGACTTTACAATTTTTTGTTGCTAGATATTTAAGTATCTTAGTTCCCTTGAAGTAGAGGATTTTAAAGATGTGAAGTCGGGTTACACTATTACATTTGTAAGTGTTGTTTCTTCTCCCCTGCTTTGGTCTTGAAAAGAATTTTCATTCATTTTATAAAAAAAAATTGTTACATTGAGGCACTGTAAATGGCATGTTGGTTAGAGCTATGGTTTAATTATGGATTTACATAAGTTATTAAATTTTTTTTGTTATATATTCATCAGAATTTTAGCCCCAATCCTTACTTTGAAGACACAAAGCTCACGAAGGTTTTTACCTTTCTTGACGAAGGAACAACAAAAATTACCGCCACTTCAATTAAGTGGAAAGAGGGCATGGTAAGTGGTCTTTGTTTATGCATTTCTTTGCATATGTACTTTAAAAAAATGTTTACTTTGCATATTCTTTTTCACTCTGCTTTTTGCTGAATGTTTTTAACTTGTGAAGGGCATTCCAAATGGAGTTGCTCATGAGAAGAAAGGGAGCAAGCGGCCTCATACTGATGAAAGGTGGATTTCATCAGTCTTTATTTTTGGATTTAGTCAATATCTGGTGTTCAAAAACTTTTGTTTTTTAGTAGTTTTGGTAATTGACAGTGTTATTATTAGTGGCATTGTAACTAATGATGAATTTTTTATTGAAATTTAGTTGATATGTTTGATGATCACTATTTTCTAATTTATTTTGTAGTGACAAAACATCGGTAAGCATTTTTAAACGATAAACTAGATGACTAGAGTCTCATTTTTTCAATGACCAAGCATTGATGCCTCTGTTATTTCTCTCTTCAATAAGCAAATTTTAGCCAGATGTGTAGTGTGCGCTTTTTTTGCAAAATTTTCTTCAGAACAGGAAAAACATGCTAAGAACTTTCAAGAAGAATACAACGCCACCTTTTGCAGTAAACTTTTTTCTCGTGTGAATTAAGGTAGTTGCAATCATTCTGTCAGGAGCTATTTAAGTCAAAATTATGCCCTTGCAATTGAAATCCCATTCCAGTTACACATACATGGTGATTATCTTATTTTGTCGCAAGCTGTTTCAATTATCATTATCAATGTTATTTATTGAATTAACACTCGTTACATGAAGTCATTGTAACAGTTTCGTTGGTGGATTATTTCTGTTGCTAAATGTGATCCATGAGGACTGATACAAAGGAAGTAGTTTAGCAGAATGCATATTATGGCATCATTTCTTTGTTTTAGTTGTTAGTGTTACTATTAGTACACTGGCTGTTTTGAGATTCATACAAGATATGATGATATTCATCTACAAATTAATGCTCTTGCATATTTTAGATTGCATTTTTGGTAATTTTTAAGTGGATGGCATTCATGTGTCAGTGAAGTTCTTTATTCTCTTGCTGTTCGTGAATGCAGCTTCTTTACATGGTTCAGTGAAACCCAACAGAAAGTTGATATGGATGAGATTCAAGATGAGGTAATTTCTTTACTTCTGCAGATAATGTAAAGAACCTGATACTAATGTTGGAGGTACTCAGTGTGACCCCTCCCCTCCCCCCCATACATTTTATTGATATTGTTTTTCATTTTGTAGGTTGCAGAGCTAATCAAGGAGGATTTGTGGCCCAATCCTCTCAATTATTTCAACAATGTAACTTCTTTCCTTCCCCGTTTCCATCACGTCTTCCTTGATACAATAATCACGTTTCTATTATGGTCTAAAAGGTGTTTTTACTTTCCCGAGTATCTGATGATTACAAATGGCTTCTGTGCAGGACGCTGATGAAGAAGATTTTGATGGGGAAGGTGATGAAGAGGTAAATATGATTCCATATATACTTTTTGGTAGAGTATTCAAACTTCTATATGGTTGTACTTAATAATCACTCTGTTTACTTGGAGTTTTTGTGTTTTTTTGCTATTGTTTCTCCTCTTCAAACCTCGTCATGTAATGCGTTAGTGTGTTATATCATGTTAGTTATATATTTTCAATGTTTTCATTAGGGGTGTTCAAGGATCCGAATCACCTGAAATACCCGACAGGACCTGTCTGACCTGAATACATGACGGACAGTTTCGACTGCTTGTTCGGTCGGCTGGGGTCCATATGCTTCAAATTTTTTGATTTTCAGTTGAGTGTTGGGCTGCTTGCAGAAAAAATCACTCAACCCGGCCCGCCCAAATTATTGTTAGATTATTATACAATAGATATGAACATGTCCTGCTATATTGACACAGGCCTATTTTCCTTTCCAAGATTCCTGTTGTCTTTGCAAAGACAATGATGACCTGTATGCCCTCTTCTCAAGATTAATAATAAATTTATTCACTTACCAATACAACTTTTGACCATCTCTCTCTCTTTTGTCCGTGGATATCCCTAGAATATATATATATTTTTTTAGAAAGCTTCTGACTCTCTATCTCTCTCTTCCCTCTCTTTCTCCCCTTTGTCCTTCCACATCCTTAGAATTTTTTATTTTTTATTTTTTTAGAAAACCCTAGAATATCTTAGTTTATTCTATTCAATACATTTGACTATTCTCTCTAACTCTTTCGTCTCCCTCTCTAAACCCATTCTCCCACTGTTTGGTCTATCTCTCTCTCTTCTCTCTCACACACACACACACACACACACACACACACACACACACACACTCACACTCACTGTCTCTCTCATCCTCTTCTTCTTTCTCTCACACAGTGGCAATTAAGCTCTACTGGAGCCCTTCAAATCTATCAAAACCTTATAACGAAGTGCGAGCAAGTGATTGTTTAAAATTGATGAGGATGATTAATCAATCTTAGTTGTATCTCTCTCTTACTTGATTTATGAAGAATCGGTGTGTGCCAATGGTGTCAAGTGGCAACGATAGTGACACTGTGCGATGATGCGTGAGTGTTGTACTCTATTATCAATTTTTTTCTTCACAATTCCTTCCTTTGATCTGGTGCTTGAGAGTTTTTGTTTAAACTGGATCACTGTTTGTGTATTTGAGTTGTATATATATATATATATTTTATTTTGAGTTTTGTTTGGATGTTGAGAAAAATTAAGGAAGCAATCTAGAAGTGGTAGTATTCAAGAGGGAAAGAAGGCTCCGTTTGGTTTAGTTTTTAAAAGAGTTTTAAGTTGTATTTTGAAAGATAAGTTGTTGAAAAGAGTTTTGAAAATTGGTTTGGTTATGAGTTTTGAAAATAATTTTGGGATGATTTGTAGTTTATATATTTATTTTTTGTAGTTGAATAGATGGGTAAGAGAAAATTCGATTGATTGATTGATTTGTAGAATGTAAGAGAATGAGAGAGGAGAGGGAAAAAGTGATTGATTGATTTATTAATAAAAAAAGAGGAGAGAGGAGAGAGGAGAGAAAAAACAATTTGGAAAAGAGTTATAAAAACTTGTTAACCAAACATGTTTTTTGATTTTTTGATCCAAATGTTAATTTAAACCAAACACTACCTTGGATACTTGCCCATAGGCCAGAGGGAGGTAAGTGTACCTTAAATTTTTTCTTAACTTACACTTAGTTTGGATGGGATGATTTGGTGAGAAATGATGAGAAAGTGAAGTTTTTTTCTTGTGTCGTTTTTTCTTATGTTTGGTTTATAAGTTGAGTGAGAAATGGTGAGAAAGAGAATTCTCTTACTAAGCCTATTTCATTTCTCATCAAAAGTGATGAGATTTGGTGATTAACAAGTTGATTGGTTGTAAAATATTTATAATACCAAGATTGCCCCTTAAAATACCAAGAAAAATAAATCCCACTCATATCCTTCTCACGTATGCTTTTTGCTTTTTGACCCATCCAAACATGAAAGTGACAACAAAATCATTTCATTTCTTTTCTCATCTATATGAGAGAACACAATAATTTCTTTTCCTTTCTCACCCTCCAATCCAAACAGAGAGTGTTACAATCATGTCCTGCTCTCTTTATACCCCTTAATAGGAATTATGACACATGATCGGCCAGTAAGGCCTTCATACTTAACCAATTGGGCACTGCCTTCCCCTTCCCCACCACCGCCCATGGCTGTTGCCGTCCCCTTCCCACCACTCCATACCTTCCCACACCTCTTTTATTCTCTCACTCATGACTGCCCTCAACCATTTCTCACCACCCATCACGACCCTGCCCTAAACAATCCCCTCCCACCTCCTTCGTCTCTACCCCAAACCACAACAATCCCCTTCTAAGAGAGATGCGGTGGCGGAGGGCTAATGGAAAAAAGAAAAGAAGACAAAGTGGGTTGTGGTGAAGGGTTTGCGATGAAGGGGGTCACAGTGTTTGTGGCTGATGGCATCATAGATAAAATGGTTGTTTTTGTGGTGGTGCTTTTAACTAGAATCAATGGAAGAAGGGGTGGGGTTGTCCATGGGGGTGGAAAGGGGTTGGGGTAGCTCTGAGGGAGGGGGAGGGGGGCTGCAGGGGTTCATTTCGCTGAATAGGGTACTCCCACAACTTTGTTCCCACAATAGGGTGGATTTTTACTTCATTCCTAACAATAGGGTAAAGCGGGTTTTAACAACACGTTTAAAAAAAGCAGGTTTTGAAAACATGTTTTTAAAACTTGAAAGTTGATTAAAATAATAATAAAAATATTTCATAAGAAACGTGTTTTCAAAACACGTTTTCGATTAGGCTATGTTAAAAAAATTAATTAATCAAAAGCGGGTTTTGTAAACACGTTTTTATGAAAATTATAAATCACACTAAAAATATTTTTTATTTTTATTTTTAGCTTAAATATTTTAAAATATATATTTTGTATCTTGTAAGGTGGGTTTTGTTAACACGCTTTTTAGTTTTTTGTAAAATGTGTTTACAAAACACATTTTTACACTTAATTCTTTTTTTCAAAAGTTAGGTTTTTTTCCCACCACAATGTAAACATACGTTTCTTTACAAAACATATTGTATGTGGAGGCCAAAAAAAAAACAAAGACTAGAGAGAGTAGCAAACGAGAGAGAGAGAGAGAGAGACCACTAACGGCAAGAACCTTCAGCGGAGAAGAAGAGAGAAGACAAGCGGCGGAGACAGCGACCACCACGACTAGCAGCGAACAAAGACCAGCAATTGTCCCACCTCTCTCTCACACTGGAGCTCTTGCACCTCCCATAAATCACAAATCCTACCACAAAATCATAAATCTTTGATGCTCTCTTTGGACCTATCATCCTGGGTTTCTCCACATCAGTTAATCCATGTAGATCATTCTCACCCTTCTTCACTATAATCAAGTTCAAAATAGAGAGATATTGTCTAATGATGCACCTGTAAAAAGACTTCCTCCTCCTTTTTGTGCCTTCAATAACCACAAAAACATGCAGTCTTGTCCTAGTAAACAAAGACATGATGTCAACTTGACGATGAAAATATATAGAAGACTATAAACAAATAAATGTGTAAAGGTGCTTACTAGTTGACATGTGTGAAGCATCATATCAATAGTTCAAATATACAAAAATACAAAATATTTTCAACTAGTCGTACTATATACTCTCTCTTAAGTCCCTTATTGTATACTATCATTATATTGGTCGTTTGCATGTAGCACTCCCTTGCCTGCCTGTTAGGAAGCACGGATACAGAGATACGGATACGGTGATATACCAAAATTTGAAAAAGTAGGATACGGATACGGATACGGTGAGGATACGTTCGTAATTTTTTTAAAAATAATTTTATTAATGTAAACAATTATTTTTAATTGACATATATATGTTATAAATTTTTACTTTATTAATATTTAATTAATTAAATACAGCATAAAAAATATTTTTTAAAATTTTTATATATTTTATTTAATAAAATAACATTTATGAAATTCAAATATAAAATATAATACTAGCAGCCATTAGACAAGGGGAAAAATTAAATACATGAATAAAGCAGCTGCAAAGTTGAAGACCAAGGTTATTTTTAATTGATATATATGTTATGAATGAGATAAAAAGGCGAGGTTATGATTTAGACCATAATAAAAGCAAAACAAGAGCGCGAGAGGTGAGAGGTGAGATGCAAGAGGTCTTCGGTAGATGCAACTTGGTTCAAGCCCCACCCTGATGAGCTCGTAGCAGTTGTGTCTTCGTTGAATTGAGTTTTGTTCATAGATTCCTTTGTTGATCAACTTCACAACTCACAATTGGACTAATGAATGTGTTCAAAGGCTTTGTCTGACTTCAAATTTCAGTTTGTAGCATTTTGCTTGTTCAAATTTGGCATCGCAATCTGAGCTTAGGGTTTTTGCTTCAATGCTTCTTCGATCTGTGGTTCTTCTTCTTCTTCTCTATGTTCCCGATGTGATTTGTATTATTTTCAATTTAACTTCTTTATTTACAGTTTGACCCACAAAAGTGTTGAAAATTACGTTTTCTGCCCCTCCATATCCCAAAAGTATCCGGAACGTATCTCTCATGTATCCATGCGTATCAGAAATTCAAAAAAATATATATATAAAAAAGGGATACTTTTTGCTGTACCAGATACGTGTCCCAACGTATCAAACACATATCCGTATCCGATATTTGTACGCGGCTCATTTTGGAGTATTCGTGCTTCGCAGCCTGCCTGTACAGAATATGGCCCCTCGCCAAAGTGTGCAATAGAAATCTTGGATACCACATTCGGCAAAGCCTGGGATACAACGGTGAGCTATGAAGCCCCTACATCTGGTACATTACTATCATGGTTTATACCTCGACCTCAACATCTACTCACACCTCAACCTCAACCTCAACGGCCGCCACGACCTCTACATGTACCTCTCCCTCTGGTAAGGGTATGGACCATTATCTCATCCACAGTGTGCGAGTCCCAAGTAATGATTGCATCATCATGGTAGGTCAAGGTCGCATGTGCAATAGGGGATGATGTTGATGTAGTCCCGATAAAAGTGGACAAAGGTGGTGTTGAAGAGGAATGTACTATCAAAGGACCAAGTGATGTTAGCGTCGAAGTAGAGGGAATCGTAGTAGACACACCTACAATGGATGGTGGTGGCAAGGGAGTGGATGGGGTAACAACCTCAATCCTATATGGGGGTGGTGACCAAGAGGGGTCCAATATCTGGCCATGGTATATGGGAGTATGTTGGGACATGATTGGATATAGCTTGGGGAGGGAGGGAGAATTGCGATGTGTAATGGGTAGGTTGAGGTGGGGTAGTCTAAGTTGGGGGCAGTGATGTAGATGGAACATCAATTGACACCCTCATGGCCATGGAAGGCCCCTTTCCAAAGTGATCAAAATCCAAATGATCATATTGATGTGTTTGAGGTGTGGTAGGCACTGATGTAGATGGAACATCAATTGACACCCCCATGGAAGGCCTCTTACTAGAGTGGTCAAAATCCAAATGATCATATCGATATGCTTGAGGTGTGGTAGGCACTGATGTAGATAGAACTTCAATTGACACCCCCATGGTAGGTTGAGGTGGAGGCATTGATGTCAATGGTTCAACTGATGAAATAGTTGTGGGAGGGATTGATGTGGCTGGAAATCTACTATCATGGAAGGCTGCTCACCAAAATGGCCAAAATTTAGTCGATCCAATTGATGTACCTATTGCAAAGCCTCATATAATAACTCTTGTATCTCAACAATGGCCTCCAGTGCCACTCCACCATTACATCTCATATGGGCATCCTCTTACAATTGATATGCCCTCGCAGATATATGTATCTATAAAGAAATATAGTTATGTTACGTTACCATTGAAGCAAACTTAAGAAAGTTATTACTTTACTATAATAAGGTACTCACCAATCCCTCTAGACTAACCCCCTACTCGTTTGTATTGAGAGGTGTGAGAGCTCTGCCGTAAGAGAGGGTGGGGCAGCTGCTGGTCGCGGTGGTCTTTGTTTGCTCTTGGTCGTGTTGGCCGCCGCCTCCGCTGCTCATCTTCTCTCTTCTTCTTTGTCAAAGGTTCTCTGCCGCCGGTGGTCTCTCTCTCTCTCTCATATGCTGCTCTCTCTAGTCTTTCTTTTTTTTGGCCTCAATATATAATATGTTTTGTAAAGAAGCGTATGTTTACATTGTGGTGGGAGAATGTGTTGCTTTAAAAAGAAAAAGAATAAATGTAAAAACATGTTTTTTAAACACATTTTATAAAAATAAAATAAAAAGCTTGTTTACAAAATCCGCTTTACACATACAAAATATTTAAGCTAAAAATAAAAATGAAAAATATTTTTGGTGTGATTTGTAATTTTTGTAAAAGCATGTTTACAAAATCCGCTTATGATTAAGTTTTTTAACATAGCTTAATAAAAAATGTGTTTTGAAAAAACACGCTTCTTGTGAGATACTTCTATTATTGTTATTTTAACCAACCTTGAAATCAACAAAAACATTTTTTGAAAACACTTTTCTTTTTCTTTTTTTATACATGTTTTCAAAATCAAAACCCACTTTACCCTATGTTGGGAATAAAGTTGTAGGAATACCCTACTCAAGGGAAAGGGCGCTGGTGGGAAAGAGTGATCCGTTGAAAGAAAGGAATGCGGCAGTGGCCATAGGTGGTGGGAAGGGTTGGGGCTGCGGGAAAGGGTTGGGCGAGTAGTGGGGAGGTAGTCAGTGGTGATAAGTTTAGAAAATACAGTAGAGCAAAAATGCAGTGGACAAATAAAGGAGAAGAAGAATAAAAGGAAAGAAAATTATATTTTTTCCCCCAAAAAATGTCTCGTGAGGGTCACATGACAATTTCTATTAGGGAATTTAACACCAGATTAACGGAAGGATCACATTGCAACTTGTTTGAAGTGTGCAAAGGGTTGATTGTTACAATTGAAAAATGAGAGACCAAAGTGAGTTTGTTGTGAAGTGTAGGGTACAAAGTGCAATTTACCCTTTTTATCATGATAGATTAGTCTGAATATATATTATTTTTTCGGTAATTATCTTGAGCTTATTTGTCTTTGTCAGATTAAGGTGTAACTAATTTACATTCATCAATAATGGACTCAGTTTTTTTTACCATTGCTTCTGAAAAACAACTAAATATTATAGAAAGGGGGATGTGGGATGGGGGGGGGGGAGGGGGGGGGGGTTCTAGCAGCTTCTTTTTTGATTTGATAAAACTTTCAGATTATATTTTTTTACAATTGTAGTTCTGACCTGTCAGGAAGCCCAATTCATTTAGAGCTTCTTTTTTCTGCGCCTCACACATTGGCTGGAGTGAAGGTTATAAGCATGTGTGTGGCAATGTTACTAGAAAACGCTAATATAATCGTGAATTACGTTTTCGAATGCACGTTCCGAAATATGATACATTTTGTTCCAAAATGGTAAATTTAATAATCCAAAGCGATCTGAAAAGTTTTTTTTTCATATGTCCTATACGTTTCCTAATGAACTTTAAGGTGAGTGAAGTTTTGACATGACAAAGTTTAGAAAATGGGTAATTATGCTCTCAAAGAAATGTGTTATTACATGATTAATTTGAACAAAAAAATACATTTTATTGGATGTTTATTTGTTAAAGGAAAACTAGCCTAAAGTGCCTTAAATTCTTGTATTGTAATCTATTGTCTACTCATATTGTACCACATTTTCGAGCATGTGGTGTACCATGTTCCCATTCATGTTCCTGTTCCTGTTCCGTGTATTGGAACGATTCACAATCCAGGCAACATAGGGGTGTGGAAACTATGCTTTCCTTTCTGCTTGGTTTTAACAGTTTGGGCCATATGAGAGATTCTTACTAGTGGAACTAGTGGAATGGATGGTACAGTGGATATAAAAGGTTTGTTTTTGTTAAATTCTGAATCTCTTGCTCTCTGGCAGGAGAAGGGCAGTGATGGTTCTGAAGAGGAAGATGACGACGACGATGACGAGGAGGGTGATGATGAGGATGGAAATTGAGCTTCTTCCATAGCTCATTCCATATTTTCACTTTCGCTGTTTTAGTATGGCTTGTGTAAAAAGGGGTTTTTGAAGGTCGTTAAAGAACCAAGCGACATGATTTTCCTGCCATGGTAGCTGTGTAGAAAACTCTTCTAGTAGGCCAAACATTTGCTACTGTTGTCAATTACAGGTTATCTGACCTTTTATTTCTTCATCAAGGCATATGTTATTCTATTTTTTGTTTTTGTGTTTTAATTGGGTTATCGATGTGGGATGTCCTCTCTTGGTATGCAGATTGCTAGATGAATGAGAGAGTATTTAGGATTTTAAGCTAGCAATGTCATGAACTCCACTGAGATGATAGTTAAATTATAGTTTTGGATGTAAAGCTATTTGGGTGACTTAATATTTTATATATATATATATATGCAGATTTGATGTGCCAATTTCTGGGCTCTTTTTTTTTTCAGCATTAAATATAATCTGATTTTGCTTTTTAGTAAATGGTTATTCTTTTTATTTATTTATTATTGTTCTCATTATAGATTTGTGGATATCAAATGGGACTCTTTTGCATGTCTTTATTTATTTGCCTTTTTTTTGGGGTCATTATTTATATGTGAAGCTTTTCATTTTGCAACTCTTGATGATATTTTAATTTCACAAATCCTTGGTTCAAAATTTGAATTAACCCAGAATCATGCTGGTAGATTTAAAAGTTTGGTTTCTAATTTAAAGCCAAAATATGATTTTACCTGAGTGTTGGTAGCTTAGTTCTTTTGCAAATCTCGTGTGTGTATTGTTGAAAATAAATAACTAAAAGGATATAACCTAAAAGCATCTTTCTTTCCGTTTTTCAATAATATATATATATTTCAGTTTATTTAAAGGGAAATGTTTGAGACCCTCTTTGGGGATGACTTCTCCACTTCCAAATGTTTGAGACCCTTTTTGCGGATGACCTCCACACTCCTAAAGTAATCCCGGTCCTCCATGTATGTGTGTGTGTAAACACTCTATTTTTGACCGGTCTTACGATTTGGACATTATCACTTGCACACTCAATGATGAATGTATATGCTTATTAAGTGCTCGAAAGTCCTCAAAGAAATGCCACAGCTTTGAGCCTCAAAACCCCGCAAACCTTGTGCCTTGTTTTTGCACTAAAACCCCAGCCTTTCAAACCTGAAAAACCTAGGACCTGCAGGCTCATTTTTGTGGGCTGTCGGCCATCTCTTTTGGTTGCCAGCCACTCGTGTGCCTTGCCGGCCAAGTGTGTGGCCTGCTAGCCAAAATTAGTGGCCTGCAGGCCACAAGTGTGTTTTGCAAATATTTTTTGCCAGCTGTTTGTACAGATATTTGTATCTATCTACACGTGTTTGGATGGATGTTTCTAAGGGAGTGTGATGTTTTTCTATAAATAGAAGACATCCCTTTCCATTTTTTAGGATTAGAAAAATTAGAGCAAAAATTAATTATCTCTCTACAATTCTCTCTCTCTCTCTCTTGAAATTTCTTGAGCTTTTGCCTATACACTCTTAACCAAACCTTACCATCTTTGAGCTGAGGTACCTTTGAGTCTACTTTGAGCTCTTAAGGGTGTGTATGTGTTGAATTATTGCTTAAAATGTTCTTTTCTTGAAGAAGTATAAGGCTTAGCTTGTTTCATTGCTTTGGTGGATTCTTTTCCTACTGTTTTTCTACTGTTTTTGGGCTATATAAACTCTGTATTTTTAGGCTGAAACTTATGGTGTAAGGCCTTAAAGGGTGGAGGGGTGGTTCACCTTTCTTTCCACATTGCTTCTCTAGCCTTTACCTTTGTGTTTTCCACCTATACAATAATTTTTTTTGAGTTTCTAAATATTGAATTTCAGAGTTATTTTAGTGGCTAAAAACATATTTTAAATTCCAAAATTGGAGGGGTTAGCTTCCCCTTCTTGTGTGTTGTTCACTAACTTACATAGCTCCATGTTATAGCTTACTATTTTAACTATTTTTATCTTAATTGCAGCACTTTTTTTACATGTTTTAAGACTATTTTGGGACTATTTTAGGTGTTCATTGCATTTATGTTTTGTTTTGCATGCTTGTAGTTTAATTGTTCTCATAGGTTTGGTGGTTTAGGCCTTAGCCACTATCCTATTTGAGTTGATAGCATTTGTTTATGGCTTTCTATACTTCTTTTCATCCCTAATCACTTCTGTAACCTCCCTCATTTCTTAGTTTTTGCTTTGCTTTGAAAGTTGGTTCAAAGTAGTTGTTTGTTTAAAGCATAAGATTGAGGTTTTATGCTTAATGTTTTAATCCCTTTGGGAGTTCATTATCAACGGCATGACACTTCTCTCGTGCCTAAAGCAACTTTTGGTTTGATACTTTTTTCCATTAGAGGATTTAAAGCTCACCTTTAGACTTAATGAATTAAAGAATAGAAAGGTAATTAAAATGGAATAATAAAATTTGGACTAAAGTGATGCAAGATAATAACTTAGTTTGGGTTCAATCGGACGTTAATTGAACTATTGAGTATTGAGTCGTTTTATACTCATTAGTGATGAAAACGGTTCAAGAGTCATTGTCAATCACTTCCCTTGATCAATCCATGATAAGGAGGGGCTTTGAGAGTCTTATTTGTTGCATTTATTGAACTTGCACTCTTTGGTTCATAGGCCATCACGCAATGAAAATGCATCGATTGATAGTTTGTGAATCAAGTTTACTACTCCTTTGAGCTGTTCGATGATAAGGACGAGTAAGTTGTTCAAACAACCCTTGAGAATACCCTGTGCTTGCTCTGTTTGCCCTTTGTTGCAGTAGGAAAAACCAGGCATCAGTGGCCGGCCACCACTTCTAGCCTGCCGGCCATCTTTGCAAAACCCAACAATGTACTTTTCTAGCAAAATAGAGTTGGTTTTGAAGTGAAAAATAATACAAGTGTTCTACTGTGCAATAGAGGCATCTAGCAACAAAACAATGGCCTTTTTTCGAGTGGAAATCCACGCATGCATGAGCAGTCCTAGTTTCCTGAGGCGAAATAGTTACAGTAGTTAGCTTAATACTTCTCTCACTTTGTATTCGTGTTTAATTAGTTAATTTGCAATACATTATTTAGTTTTAATTTGTTGTAATAATTAATTAGCTAGTTTAGTTAATTATTTCATTCGTTTTGTAATAGTTAGTTAATTTGTAGTAATTAGCCTATTTGTAGTAATTAGCCTTACTAGTTAGCCTCCGTTTGGGAAGTGGGTTGGCTTTTTGACTTTTTGGTTTTTTTGGCTATTTTAGCCTGGGGCTAAAAAGTCTGGTTTGGGAAGAGCTTTTTGATTTTTTTGACTTTTTGGCTTTTTGGTGAGGTGTCTTCCTGTTCATTTACCAAAGTGCCCTTGTTGTTGTTGTTGTTTTTTTTTTTTTTTCTTATTTTCGGTTTGGATTTGGCTTTTTTTGCTAACTTTTTTTTTATTTTTTGATTTTGGGTTTGGATTTGGCGTATTTTGCTTAAATTTTTTTATTTTGGGTTTTATTTTGGCGTATTTTGGTAAAATATTTCTTTTTTTATTTTTTTATTTTGGGTTTGGATTTGCCATATTTTGCTTTATTTTTATTATTTTTTTTAAATTTATGTTTTTGTCATTTTTATTTTTTTATACATTAATTAGTTCTTGTTTTTTCATTTATGTTTTTTGTCTTATTTATTTTTATTGGTATACAATAACATTTTTTTTATTTATGTGTTTCATTTATTTGTAAATTACGTGGCGAATGGTAATTTATATTTTTATGTTTTTTGTTTATATATTTTTGAATGAGGCGTATTTTTCTCGTTATTTTTTTTTTAATTTACGTTTTTGTCATTTTTTAATTCATACACATTAATTTGTTTTTATATTTCAAAAATGGGTTTTCATGTGTTTTATTTATTTATAAATTACTACATGGCAAATGGTAATTTTTGTTTTTTTTTTATTCTTTTTGGATGAGGCGTATTTTTGTCGTTCATTTTTTTTTTCAATTTACGTTTTTGTAATTTTTTAATTCGTACTAAATATTTTTGAATGAGGCGTATTTTATTTAAAATAATTTATGTATTTTAAGTTTTTTTTTTTGCAAATGGTTTTTTTATGTGTTTTTTATTTTTATTTTATTTTCATTTTCTGTGAAATGATAAAAAGTGACGTTTTATTTTATTGTCCTGTGTAATTTAAATAATTTAATTTTAATTTAATTTAATTTTAATTTTAATTTTAATTTTAATTGTAACATCACATTGATCGGATATCGGTAACTATATGATCAAATCAATTAAAATTTATAAAATAGATAGTGTTATAGTTAATGGTTGAACAAAAATTAATCCAATCAGATAGCTATCGATATCCGATCAACGTGATTTTTTAAAAGCATATATTACTCGATGAGTTCTACACATCGAACGATTTCGATTAGCAAAACAGGACCCGTGATAAGCCCTTATAGGCCGAACAACACCTTCAATTCACTACTTAAAAAGCAGGAAATCATCTCCCCTCCCCCCTCTCTGCACCCACTGTCCCTCACCGTACAGCTATTCCATCACTTCCATCACCATCTTCTCTTATACACTAATTTATACAGTTTTTTAATACATATTTTTTCATAAAAAGTCAAAAAATTAACCCAAATATTCATATTTTTAACCTCAACTTTTTAGACTAAAAAGACAAAAAGTATACTTATTTAGGACACCCTAAACAATCTCTTAATATAATATTTTATTTTATTGAACTAAAAAATTTATTTTTATTCTTTTATGATTATTTTAGGGGGAAAAAAAAATCCAAAATCCTTCCATGTCAAAAAATAGTGACAGTGGGTCAGTACCCCAAAAGTCACGCTGAGGGAATAATGCCAACAATAGCTTCTTCTCTTTTCAGGGTATTTTGGTAAATTTACCCCACAAGGGATTGAACCCAACACATTGATTTCTGTTTTGTCTGGACGTGGCTAAATAAGCCTAATTTGTCTGGACGTGGCTAAAATAGCCTCAGTTTTGCTTCCCAAACGGTACCTTAGTTTATTCAGACCCTCCTGCGTGAGAGTGCACAATTGTAATAATGTGTATGTTTTCCAATCCCGCGTATTTTTCCCTTTTATTTATTTGCTTATGATGTTTAGCTTAGGGCATCATGTTTTGTTTAGCGTCTCTCCATGATTTGCATCCACTTGTTTTGCATGCATCGAGACTCTGTTCATCATTCTAACAATGCATTGTCGTTTAAATACTTCGTTGAATACGTGTTTAAACCGCAAACTATCAAATTGACTTACATGACATAATTAGTAGCCGAGCCTATTAATTGTATTGTTGCATGTGTTGCATTAGTTATGTAGCATTAGTTAGGGACATGCATATTTTCTAACTCTTTTGTTTCTTTTGGCTTGCCTTGGAGTACTAAGTGAGCTTTTACTCACT